TTTAAGCCCAACTCGGGACGTTTACAGAGATGAGCCTAAAAAAAATGAAGTGGCATGAACAAAATTTCATTTTATGCTTCAAAATACATTAAGTTACACGGTAGTTAGTATCTATCAACAATTATTTGAATTTTATTCCTGACAAAGAAAAACGCATAAAAATCACTATGTAGGACACTATTATTCTTTACGATCGTTGCCATCCATACTTACTTTTATATGTTGAAACATCAACAATATTGATTAAAGCAATATTTCGACCTTTTTACATTAGGTTAATTAAAATAGGCTTTTCTGTATTGTACGGTTGTCTCTTCAATGAACTTTGATGTCGTTGTTGAAAAGACTTTGGAAACTCATTTTATACAACATACACATACATTCCACAGTAACTAGAAACAATATTGGCTTATTGTGGCGGGTGTAATGTAAAATAATCGTCATTAACGGGGTTCATAATTTTATTTGAAGTCTACAATAAGATTCTATTGTTTTGTAACAAACCAGACAGCCGACAGCAAGATAAATGTTGTTTGACAGACCAAGATGACTAATTATGGTTTCTATGTGATGACTGATTATGATTTCGACAAAACGTTAACACCATCACTTACGTTATAAAACGATTTTTTTAAATTAAGTTAGTAACGTTATAAAGATGTACAATGTTTTGGTAATCACTGTGAAATTAAAGCTTTAGCAATACGAGGCTCCAGCATTTTAAAAAAAACAGGGTATTTTAACTGTTCTGTTAACTGATTTAATTATTTATTGAAGATTTCCGTGATGTACATTAAAAAAACGTATTTCGACTGATGAAATGAAACCTAATCGGAATCGGTTACTAATTAGTTTAGTATAGAACTATAGGTTTCTAACTGTAAAATAACCTGATTCGAAAAATATAGATTAACAATTACGATACAACTGACGACATCTAAACTGGACCAAAACAGTGAAATGAATTAATAATGGCGTGCTAATGTTTTAATAATAATTTGAGGCTCAATTTTTCATCAGCAGTAACATATTTCCGCAGCTAAATAAAATAGAACTGTCATGACAGGTGGTTTTGTGTACTTAGTACAGTTATGATCAAATTTGTTGATATTAAATGGAACAGAATTTCACGGTTTCAGTTTTTTTCTGTTTTCATTATAACATTTAGTGAGTTTGTCATGTAATTACATACAATACTTAAAAGACAGTTATGATAACAAATAACACACTATTATATAAGAACAAAATTTTTCATATGCTCTTTGGCAAGTTCTATTCGAATCAACAACCGGAATAAGAAAAATTTCGACAAATAGCTGAAAACACCTTCATTTATCCCATAAAATCTGGAACACCTTATTTATATTATTTTAATTTTATATAGCGACACCAATAAAAAGATTTCTTTCTTTTTTCGAATTTTCAATAATTCTCAGCAACAACTTTTAAGCAGAAGTTCAGAATTTAGTCATTTGTCTGTTTTATACCTAAAATTATCATAAAATAAAAATGTAGATAAACAAAAATATAAATTTAAACATTATTAAAATAACAATTTGTTAAATAATAAAAAATCGTAAGCATAACCCGGAAATTATAACTTAACAATCGAAAATTACTTTAACCAAGACATCTCTACGAAACTACGACACTCTCTAATCATATGGGAAAAATATTTTTCCCATTGGTTACGAATTCTTGGAGAAATTCAGAAAAGAAGTTTGGGTCCCGCCAATTTGAAGAGAATTTAAAAAAAATTAAAAATCATCGAATTTATCGGGCCGGTTTACCACAAGATAAACAATATATAATATTCTACTTACCTGATGTCAAGAAGTTAAAAAAAATTAAGATGTAAACAAATTACTTGGAAAAATTTACATTTTATCTTAACTCATGTAGTTAAAGTCGTGCAACTTGTTCGTAAAAAAAATAATACATAAAAAACGAATCCAGAAAACCAATTTTTTGTTTTTACAAAACAACAAATACATACAAATTAATTGTATATTTGCACGATACTACAAAAAGGGCCCCATTTCAAAAGGCAGGCTATTCAAAATCCAGTTTTGTACTAGTACGAGATAAATTTTTCAATATTGAAAAGTGCAACTATTTGTTTGATTAGCTTAAACCATTCTGGTGAATTTGGTTTTATTTTCTTATTTTCTTAAAAGCAGTTAACCTTTACCTAAATCAGTTTGTAATTCATTAATCGGAGATAAATTTATTTTAATCGTATGACGGTTAATCCCATTAAGTTTTTTAATAATTTGAAAAAAATTGAAATTGAATAAGAATGAAATTTCATTTATTGTATCAACCTTTTACAAATATCTATTTATTTATAATTGTATGCAACTTAAGAATTTGTTACATTCTTCCTTCATTTTACATTAAATTAAACTTAAAAAGTGCCACAATTTGATATTGCTGTTTAATCCGATGAAACCACTGGGGTCTTATCGGAAATTCTTGGCGCAGATTTATGGTCCCAAATCATATTACGAACAAAAGATAAAAAGACCCAAAAAATTTACTACGCGTTTATTTAAAAAAATTACTGTTCACTTGTCATTTATTTGATTTAAAAAAATTTAGTGCATTTAAACATATTTATAATGGAACCACCCCTAACCTATCAAGCAAAATTTAGGCATTCAAGTGTTAAATCATGTTAAATCGTTTATTTTTCGGTGGCACCGGATTCCAAAAAATTTGATTGCATAAATTTCATTATTTCTATTAAAAAAGGCACGTTTCATCTTATCGCGAGATAAGTGTATTTTTTGTCGATAACATATAACGAAATAGTTTAAATTCTATTTTATCATTATAGTGTTGTTTACTTTCTGGTATCTTAATTTCAAAATGCTAAAAACGTTATTAGTTGTTACACAATGTGAAAAAATAATTTTAATTTATATTAATAATTATAAATTTTTGGTTTATCTATTAGCAAACGAATAATATTCTATCATGTTCTGAATAATCTCTTTTAAACTAATCTTATATATGATGTAACGTTTAGTAAATTACACTAATCCAACCTATGAAATGCTCAAAAGGTAGGAACCTAGGAAGCTCAAATACACAAAATGAAATTACTGGAACTGTTCGACGTAGACTAAACAAGCTGAAAATGCAAATGGAAGAATTTTAAATGCAAAATTTGACTTTTCGAAAACAGCGTGTTCGATAGACTAATTAAATAAACTTAAGAAAATTCAGGGAATAAATAAAATAAATTTTCATTTACATATCTTCTCCTAATTAATCTATTTCTAAGTTTCTTTGACCACAGTTGATCTGATCAGTTATTTACTTCCTTTAAGTGTTTTACATTGTTTAATTTAACCGTTATAACATTTTACATTTTGCTCATTTTGCTTTTCACCAAAAATTTTACTAAACAAAACTCTCGAATACGTTCTCAACAAACTTCAAATTCATGAATTTTGAAACAGGAGAGGCCAAATATAATTCTGGTTGAATTTGGTTATTTATTGGTGGTTGGTTATTTATTTATTTATAAATTAAAATGTTAATAAAAATATAAGTGTTATGTAAATTTAATTAAATGAGCATAAATGGTTATTTATGCATTAAAAAATATTATTTTGGTGTATTAATTTCATTGATGGTTAACATACAAACAAAAATGTTCTACGACGCAGAATATTCTAATTTGGTATGATTTAAAAAGATACATCAACATACTTTTTTTCGCATATTTTAACAATAAGCAAAGGAGGTCAGAAAATGGTCAAAACTTGGATTTGACTTATCGTTGTGATTCTAGCGTTATAAAACCCTTAGATACCGACTTGCTTGGAAATCGTAAATTAATTTTTTTACTTATAATTTCGACGTCCTTTTGCGTGACTGATGTACCTACTGAACATATATTCATAGATGAGAATTCGTTTCAAAGAAATTGTCAAGTGCATTTTATAACTGTATCAAACGTGAAAATTGGGCTATTATTTCCATTTAAAGAAATGGTTAATTTCTGACAAATAATTTCCCTATTTTGGGTATTTTCTTATAGAAATATTTTATACATTTTTATAGTACATAAGTCGTTAAACCTTTTTTAACCTTCCTCTTCTTTCAAATGGTCTATTTGATGTTAAAATCCTTTTAGCCGTTTTTGAAATATCGCCGTTTAAATCTGATATTCGCATAACGACTTCTTAAAAATCGACAAAAATTTAAGAATCAAAAAATTGATAAATTTAAATTCAAACAAAAATTTATATTTGGTGATCTCTAGAGGTGCTAAAATGAAATTTCATATTAGTTTCACGAAAAAAAAGTTTATGACCTAATTTACTTGACGATATTTGGTTTTCAGAAATTTTTTAGTTATTGATAAACTTTGATATGTTTTACTTTATTTTTATTGCAATTTACGTTAAAAATGCTGTAAAATGATATATTTACATAGAACGTATGAGAGAGTAGAACGACGAAATAAAAATATTAAAAAACGGAAAATTTCAACTTTCAAATTTTTTTTGCGTCACCGGGGCCTATGCACAAGAAGTGCGGATACTTGTCCAATATTTTGGGAGGTAGAATCATCAAAAAAAGTTTGGTCCAAATCCGTGTCATACCAACCTGGTGGTCCTCCTTTTCATACACTATTTTGAAAAAATCAATTAATTATATAATATTAATTAAATAATATATATAATAATAAATTTTCAAAATCAATTTTTATCCACAGATTTAATTCGAAAAACCGTAAAAAGTAACTATCTGATTACCACAACTGTTGATTATTGTTGATTGGTCTTCCTTCACAAAATTCACCAAAAACCGGGATATATAAAAATTTAACCAGATCCTTCTTCAACCCGGTTAATTTGACCGACTCGGATGTATTATTTATGGGCCGGGTGTTCTTCGTTCTTCGCCGTTCTTCGTTTCGGTGGAGGGGGTAGTTTTCCGTCCGTTCGCCAGGGGACGGGTGGGTTCGGGCCCCGGGGAAGGGCCGCGCACAAAGGTGATCCCGATTCCCGAGTCAGTCGGTGCCGAGCCGCGATTCAGTGAATGTCAGATCTACCGCCGAGCGCACAGTCGATTTTACGAGGTGTCGCCTTCAGTGTTTTGGTGTTCTGTGACCCAGTGACAAATCGCAATTTTACATCATCGGACAGTGAGAGACTTCCACACGATTCTTTCCCCGGATGATGGAAATTCACCTTCTAGCTGTGCACAATTTAAGGTACTGACACATTTAAAAACTTCTACGATGTAATCGCCCCCAATCGATAAATAACACACAACTACTTTACAAACATTATTATAATAAACATTATTTACTTTTCCTACAAATTTCCTCCCAATTTGTTTGGTTTTATCACTTTTCTCGCAAAAGGCTAACATTTAGTGTGAAATTCATCGCCGTTCTACTTGAAAACCTTGAGCTTTTTTTTCTATTCTGCCTGCATTATTTATACTAAAAACTGTAAATCAAAATATTTAATAATTCTTCATTAAAGGCCAAACGATCTGAAAAAAATATAAATTTATTATGCTAAAACATTTGCAAGCTCTAAACTGTTTGATAAGAAGAAAATAATTTCGTTTAGTCATGTTATTAATCAGTTTCAGGCTATATTTCGAATTTTATTTTATTATTTAGCATATTCGGCAGATTTTTATTGTCTGTATACTACACTGTCCTGAGGACGAAGTTTCCAAAAGGGCTTACGGTCAATAGTGTTGTCTTCCACATTAGGTGCTTTCATTTGAGAACTGTTAAAAACTGAATATTAAAAACAAACAAAAATATTTTCAGCAATGAAGTGGGTTATCTGTTAAATGAATCCAGTAATATACCGATTTTTTTCGGTTTAACTTTACAGAAAAGAAGATTTTTTCTGCTCACCGAATTAACTTGTTTAAGGAATCGTTTCAATTTTAAGCATAGTTTGGATTTTATAGCTCCACATTCGTTCTTTATTTCGTGTAATTTTTTTAAAAATAGATTTTATCAGTATATGTTTATTCCGAGCGATGTTTCAAAGGGTTGAGACGAAATGCAGAAGGTCTATCGATTCTTCTTCGACAATCCCCAGTTTCTTTTGAAACCTTTTCAAAATAAAAACTGAAAACTGAGGTGTGTGATAGCGTGATATTACATGGAAACAGCATTAAAGCCTTTCTAACTTTTAAAAGACCCCCCCCCCAAAAAAAAAAAAAAATCTGCTAACCAAAGCTCACAATTAACTTTCTTAAGCATTCGTTTCAATTTTAATCATATTTTGGGTTTTATAGCCCAAATATTTTTGTTGATTCCAGATAGAAAGAATTTTTAACAGTTATAACAGCAAATTTACGGTGTTTTTATTACTTCTGAATTACTTTATAACTGAATATCTATTGTTTTTTTGTGATCTTGTAATTGTAGGTATAGAAAGAAGCAGTGCCTTTCTCATCTTTCAAAAGTGGAAAATAAACTATTTTCAATCCCGGAGCGTCATAATTAAAATACTATTTTAGAACCAGTTTCAATTTTAAGCATTGTTTGGATTTTCTTATCGAAAAATTTTCTTTACCTTAAGTAAAAAAGTTTCTATCAGTTTTATTTTATTTTTTATTTATTTACATTTTTTTTAAACTGGCCTTTGCTTTAAATTTTCCTAAAAGTTTATCAGTTATCATTAGATTTTATCAGTATGTCTATAATCTGCGCTTAGTTTCAAATGATTGGGATGTACTGTAGAAAGTCGAATCGATTTTTTTCTACGAGATTTTCTTTCGCTGTTTTATCAAATTAAAGTCTAAAAACGGAGTAAAAAAAAATTTAAAAAACGTGGATATCGTGATTTTGGATGTAAACAGTAATAAAGCCTTTCCTCTTCCAAAAAGAATAAAATGAAAACTGCTCACAAGGCATTTTTAAGAATCCGTTTCTATTTTAAAAAATTTGGATTTTATTACCGGAAAATTTTATTTTATTTATTTATTTTGTTTTAGGAAAAAATCGTTTTTAACAGTTATAACGGAAGATTTTACTAGCAGCATGTGCATAGTTCTGCGCGAAGTTTAAACGAACTGCAGAATGCCAATATTATTTTTTAACAAGACTTGTTTTCTTTTAAGAATAGTTCAAAACGAAGGCTAAAAACTAAGTCAAAAATTAAATACGGCAGTTTGTTTATTTGTGAAGTTCGATGTACACAACAACAAACCTTTATTTATTCTAAAAGCCAAAACGAAAATTATTTTTACTCAACGATACCCTTCAATTAAATTCGATTCAAATTTTTAAACTATTTTTCAGCTTTTGATACCTGAAGAACATTTTACCAAAATTATTTACTTTTCGCAAAATGTATTTTTTTATAGCAATTCATAACAAAGAAAAAAATTAAGCATGGTCCTGTGTGACTTCTTGATGTAAGCAGCAAAAAAATATTTTTGTCAACAGAATAGAAAAGAAAACTATTTCTCATTTCCGAGATTCACAATGTAATTCTTTATGAATCCATTCCATTTTAAACATTATCCAAATATTTTACTTGTTTTGGTTAAAGAGTTAGAAAAATCTGCAGTACGTGGATCGATTTTCCTTTCTAAAAACGTATTGTCTTTATATAATATTCTAAAGAAATGGCTAAAATGAAAACTACAGCAATAAAGCCGGTTTTTTATTATAACATAAAACTCCTTTGGATCCCGATCCCCATTTATCAAATTCTTTAAGAACCGGTTTCAATTTCAATTATCGTCCGAATCTCATTAATCGGGCTTGTTTTGTAGTTTCGTTATTATTTTGAATTTAAAAAAAGGTTTTTATGTGTTTTGACAGCAGAATTTTCCGGAAAGTGTATATACGAATATACGAAGTAGGGAGGGTTCGGACAAACTAGAATGCGTATTTTTTGAAGTTAAAAACGGAAATGTGTGACATTGTGAAGTTAGTTGTATGCAAAATATCTTCTTTTTTTTCTAAAAGAAGAAAAATAAAACCGTGTTCTGCTAACCAAACCTCATGGTTATATGCTTTATGCATTCCTTTCAATTAGAAACTTGTTTGCAATTTATAACCTGAACATTTTTTACCAGAGAACTGAATAGCAGATTTTATGAGAATTTTTCGTTAGATAAGGCAGACAGACTAAGAACAATGTCAAAATTAAATGTAGCCGTGTGTAGTCTTTTGATGTTGCATTTAAAACGATTTTTTTTTCTTTAACTGGACGCTAAATAATACTATTTCTGATCCTGACCCTCAATAATTAACTTCTTAAGATGTTGATTCAATTTCAATTATCTTGTGAATTTTATTAACCAATTTTTTTTTTACTTTCGTAATGAATATTGAAACGTATCAAATTAAACTGAAGTATCTTGTTGTTTTTTGCTGAATAACTGTTGTAATCTTATATTTTAGTAGTTGTGCACAGTAAATACTTTATCTGTTTGCAATGAACCTTGCAAATTGAATCTTCTAATTGGTAATTTCGTACATGTTGAAACATCGCTTATATAATTTGTTTAAAATGTAATGTGATAGTTTCACATTTGAGTAGTGATTAAGAAGTCAAAAAGTATTGATAATTTTACTTTTTTAGGTTATATTATGTTATCGCAATGACAACAATGATCTTACCACTATGCATAATGGTATAATTTATGAGATTTTCAAAGGAGTATTTTTATGTGTATTTTTCTTGAATATTTTTTTTTTGTGATTTTTTTCTGAAGCCTATACCGATCAGCAATATAGAAAATTAATTGTAAAAAAAAGTGTGTTTACACATATGATCTTGCTGTGCTTTTCTATAATTGTAAAATAAGTGCAAAGGCTAGTGAGTTGACTCTTGTTTTAGTGAAGATTTCATTCCTAGACAGATATTTGCAATAAAAAAAAAACATTCACATACATTACGTATACATTATATAAAAAATACAGTTGTATACAAATATTGAATAGATAGATTTTTTATTAGCTAGTTGCAATTAGACGTTGAATCGCTCTTAGAACGTTTGTTTTCATAAGATATAAACTAAACTAATTTTATGCTTTAAAGATATATGATTGCTTGCTTCCTGCTTAAAATAAAGTGCAGACAGTGCGAAACGAACTATTTTTCTTTTGGATTATTATCCCGTAAATACGAGTTAGTCCTACCACCATTTTTGACCTAGTTTTAGACTAAGCTCTGTTTTTATCCTGCAGGAAGAATATTATTCACCCAAAAACCAAACCTTTAGTTTCTTGTAAGTAGTCAGATTCGTATTCTTCGAAAAATTGTATATGGTTAAAAAAAAGTTCAGTCATTAGAAATAAAAATGCTATTCTTATTTATTTGAAATTTTAGAATATAATAAAAAACCATGTAGTTAAAAATTGATTTTTTTTTTTTTGCGGGTGGAATAAGAACTATTTGTTCGTCCACGATTTTTACATTTTCATAGTGATTTACATAAAACTGAACTAATTGGTTTTTCACTTGAATGTTTCGTCGCAATAATTTATCATGGGCATAAATTTCATGAACACTTTCTTCTTTATTTACAAAAACAAGTAGTATAATTGCTGGTCGATCAGTAAATACTAATTGGCTTTTATGAGTTTTCGAGCTTGATTTTTTCGTCAGAACCTATTTTTTTATAAACAATTCACGATGAATAAATAACGGTAGTTTTAAAACAAATACTAACTTTTTAAAGTTTATGTATGCTGAATATGAGAAATGTTGTGTTTTGTTATTGAAAAGCAAAAAGATCACAAATTATAACAGTACAACAAAGAATCGAATGGCGGACGTATAACACAATAAGCCCTCATTCCACTTTAAAAACAAGAAAGAAGAAAAGTTCTTCATTGAATTGCGGATAGTGTTCAAATTGTATGTTGGTTTTGCGCTCGATTTTCATGCAGAACAAATATTCCATGCAGATGGATAATTCAAAATTAACGAAAATACAAAATTCCGATTTAGTCCGAATTAGTCATTAGCAAAATAAAACACTCTCTTTAAATTCAGAAAACCGTAAACCACCGTGTTATGTCTTTACAAATAGCTAAGCTTAAATCCAGGCAGGTCCGTGTTGTTTTAGTAATGATACGTGTACAGTAAATTTAAACATAAAACTCTCCTCTCCATAAAATGTAACAGAAACTATTTCGTCGGAAGTATTGTACTTCCTCAATAAACAGAAAAGAGAAGAAAAAACTCTAGTGTCCGTTTGTTCTGACTTTATGAAAAT